GGGACCTCCTGAAGGAGGCCAGGGGGGCTCTGGCGATCTCGCAAAGGGGCTGGGGGGGCAGCGTCCGCCCGCAGCTCTGCTACACGTGGGCCGGCCGCGTGCAGCTGCTGCGCGAGGCGCCCCCGCCCGAGGCCGACAGTTGGCGCCGGGGGGCGGTGGCCTCCATCGCTCGCTTCCTTCGGGGCGAGCCGCGGCCAAGGCTACTGCCGCTAGGGGCCTGCCAGCACCTGTCGCCGGCAAGTTCGCGATAGGGGTGTTCTCAGACAGTGGCCTACTGGCGGCAGCGTTCGCCGAGCTAGGAGCGCCTGGCCCCACGTGGGACATAGAGCACGGCGATGTTCTGAATGAGGCCGTTTGTGTGTCCATCATGTCTTGCATCGCCTCTGGCCGCTGTTTGCGTGCCTGGCTCGGGGCGCCTTGCACTTCTTTCTCCCGAGCGAGGAAGCGCAGCGGCAGGGGGTCGGGGCCATTGAAGTTTTTCTCACTTGAACGGGTGCCTTGGCCTCAGCTCCACAGTCGGTGATAAAGTCACTAACGGTAATCTTCTGCTGGCCGCCTCTCTTTCGCTTCTCCAGCGCGCAGCTGCGCATGGAGTTCCAGCAGTTTTAGAGAACCCCAGCTCGAGTTTCTTATGGGGCGTGACCTCGGTCCAGAACTTCCGGGCTCAGAACGCCACCGAGTCTACGGTTCTCCATTTTTGCGAGTTTGGGGCGCCGTGGGTTAAACCTACCCGACTGCTCCTCCTTTCGCGCCCCGACCTCGCGCAGGTCGGCCTGACTTGCAACGGGAGAGGAGTCTGCTCTAAGTCTGGCAGATCACACACCGAGCTTCGAGGTAAGGACCCTACAGGAACGTTTTGGACCCTTCGTGTCCAGCATCACCCGCGAGCCTTCACGCGGACCGTGGCGTCTCTCGTCGTCTCTCGCCCGAAGGGCACCGAAGTTTCGGATATTATTGCATAGGCCTGCGGCCAGGACGCTCCGCGGGTGCGGGCTTGGGTGATCTTTCGTGGAGCTTCAAGCGGTCTGCGCCTCGCGGGAGGCTGGCCAGGTGGACGTGGACGGGGTGATTTCCGGCCCCCGTGCACGCTGCGCTGGACCATCCAACCGTGCCGCGCTCGACCCTTAGCCACGGCAAGATCTTTGCGTCCGGCGATTTCGGGTTTCACAGTCCTCGAGCCCGATTTTGGGCTCTTGGCGCGGCATCGAATGGAAAGAGTGGATGGCCTTTAGCTTGCGAGATCATCCTTTGGACTGTAGAGAGCGCCGTGGTCCACATTCAGATGATTCGATATGAGTTGTAGTCAATCTTTTTTGCTCCCCACCCTCTGCCACCCTCTTGGGTGATCTTTCGTGGGCCTTTCAGCGGTCTGCACCTCGCGGGAGGCTTGCCCGGTGGGCGTTGACGGGGCGACTTCGGGGCCCCGCGCACGCTGCGCTGGACCAGCCAACCGTTCGGCGCTCGACCCTTGGTCGCGGCAAGACCTTTGCCTGTGGCAATTTTGGGTTTCACAATCCTCGAGCCCGATGTTGGGCTCTCTTTGACGCGGTATCGAATGGAACAAGCTGGAATTTGGTGCTCCCTTGCAGGCTGGGCCCCGGCAGGCGGCGGGGCGGCCGCGGACCGTCGGTTTGGCCAGCGGCAGCGCTGATCGGCGGCAGCCCGACCCCAAGAGGGACGGACAGGGGACCGACCGCGACGACGACAACGACGACGACGACGACGGCGACGAGCGAAATCGAGAGCGAGAGCGAGAGCGAGAGCGGGGCCAGGAAGGGCAGGAAGGGGGCCACGACGAGCGACAGCGGGGTCACGAATGGCATGCGTATGAGGCCACGAAGGGCGCGAACGAGCGGGGGCCATGGAGGGAAGACAACGCGGGGCCACAAAGGGCGACGACGGGACCACTGACGGTGGCAACGGGGCCGCGCAGGACAGCGATGGGGGTCGCAAAGGGCGACGACGGGGCCGCGAAGAGAGTGCGCATGCGGCCACGACGGGCGCAAACGAGCGGGGGCCACGAAGGGCATGCGTAGATTGGGCCGCAGAGGGCAAGGACGGGGCGATTGAGCGCGGCAACGGGGTCACGTAGGGCAGCGAAGGGGCCGCGAAGGGCGACGGCGTGGCCACGAAACGCATGCGGCCACGTCGGGCGCGAACGGGCGGGGGCCGCGAAGGGCACGCACAGATGGAACCACGAAGGGCAGCGACGGGTCCACGAAGGGCTGCAACGGAACCACTATTGACAGAGAGGGGGCCACGAAGGGCCGCAACGGGCCCAGGAAGGGCAGCGAGGGGGCCGCGAAGGGCTGCAACGGTGCCACGAAGGGCAGCGAAGGGGCCACTAATGGCTTCAACGTGTCCACGAAGGACAGGGGGGGGGGGCTTCGGAGGGCTGCAGCGGGGCCGCTAAAGGGCAACGATATCCAGATCCCGTAGTATGCTGCGAAGAAGTCCTAAGCGTGAGCGCGACTCCTGGGTGCCAGAGTGTCGGGAGCGCGGCGCGCTTGAATAATTTGCGAGGAGATCCACATGCAAGAGCGCGGTGCTTTAGTAACTTGTCAGCGAATCTCCAGCGAGAGCGCGGTTCCAGACCGCTGAGAGAGCGATCCCAGATCGCCGAGACAGCGGTTCTTGAATCAAATATCAAGAAGTCCTAAGCGATAGCGGGATCCCTGATACAAATGTGAGGACGTCTCGGGAGGGAACGGGGGTCCGGGATAAATTGTGAGGAAGTCTCCGGCGAGAACCGTTGTTGTTGTAGTCCGGGAGCCAAGGGCGCCGCTTGAGCTTTGTATATATGTATACACCAATCTATGTACACATCCATATATTTGTGTGTACTGTGTGCATGTATGTGTATATATATGTGTGTGTGCATATAAAGGTGCCAGCCCCAGGGAAAGTTTTGCAATTGAACAGAACCGAAGGACCACTGGAGGGGGGAATCAACACAATGATTCGCCAGTAGTGAGAGTTGAACAACAACAACGACAACAACAACAACAACAATAACAGCAACATCAACATCAACAACAGCAGTAACACCACCAGCAACAGCAACAACAGCATCACTTACACTCTCACCAGCAAGCAACCAACACACAACAACACCAACAACACCAACACTAGCAACAACAACACCAACAACAAATTCAACAACGACATGAACAACAACGTACACAGCCTTCAACAACACCAGCAGCAACACCACCAACAACACCGACAACAACGGCGATAGTTTCAATATTGTTTGCTGCGACCTGCTTGCATGCCACTTAATACGTATACCCCCCCCCCTCCCGTACCCGCCTTCTGAGTATCCGATCGTACATCCTTTGGGGGTGTTCTTTCCCTGCTTGCCACGCGTAATCGGCGCAGCCAGTCAAACAGGGGAAGGGAGGATGAATGGAAGGGGAGGGAGACCCATGGAGCACGAGAGAGATCAGCAGGAGGGGGCCTGGGAGCAGAAATAACGTGGCAGAACCAGACGGGCAACTCTGGCGGGTTGACCCTGATGGGCAGGCCGGGAAGTCGGGCTCAAGCGGTCAGGTCGAGCAGGCGGGGTGCCGAAGCGTGAGTATGAATCGCGAGGGAGTCCCGAGCGATACCGCGATTCCCAGTTAATTCGTTACAGAGGCCAGGGCCACAACGTGATTCGTATGGCTGGGAGGCGCGACGTCTGAGTAAATTGCGAGGAGGTCCCACGCGAGAGCGCTATGCTTGCACAAGTTGTTGGGAAGTCCCGCGCGAAACCGCGAGTGTTCAATCAATTGTGAGGAAGTATCAGGCGAGAACCGTTGACGCTGTAACTCGGGGGTCAGGAGCCGAATTTGGTGACCCCTCATTTCCCCTTGTGCAAAACAGGGTGCGAACCCCGGGAAAAGAGAAATGCGCCCTGGGGGAATCAACAATAATTATTTTCAATAGTGCGAGTTCAACACGGCAACAACAGCAACAACAGCAGCATAACCAACAACAACAGCAACAACCTCACCAATACTAATAGTACTAATGATATTGCGAAGGCCTGACGGCCGGTGCCGCCGACCCTGTTCGCAATGCGCAGCAAGAGGCACGGGCTGTGGGATGGTTTTGGGGAACGGGGAGAAGGACGAGAAGGTGGGGGAGGGAGGTGTCGTATCTGACCCGGGACTTCCCCGGGACTCCCCCGGGACCCCCCCCGGGACCCCCTCTCCCTCCCCCGGCGGGGAAGGGAAAGGGAAGGGGCTTCCCTTCGACTCAATTACGACGTTGCTCAAGGTCGGTACGGGGGGGGGGCGTCGTATCTGACCTGGGGGGGGGGTCGCTACCGCCCCCCGCTACCCCCCCCTCGCCTCCCGGCGGGGGAGGGATCAAAGGGAAGGGGCTTCCCTTCGACTCAATTACGAGGTTGCTCAAGGTCGGCTTGGCTGGAGCCCAGGGGAAGAGGAGTCCCAGGGGGGGGCGTCGTATCTGACCCGGGGGGGGGGTCGCTACCCCCCCCCCCCTCCCGGCGGGGGAGGGATCAAAGGGAAGGGGCTTCCCTTCGACTCAATTACGAGGTTGCTCAAGGTCGGCTTGGCTGGAGCCCAGGGGAAGAGGAGTCCCAGGGGGGGCGTCGTATCTGACCCGGGGGGGGGGTCGCTACCCCCCCCCCCCCCTCCGGCGGGGGAGGGATCAAAGGGAAGGGGCTTCCCTTCGACTCAATTACGAGGTTGCTCAAGGTCGGCTTGGCTGGAGCCCAGGGGAAGAGGAGTCCCAGGGAAAGGGAAGGACAGAGACGACGAGTACAAATAATGACGGAGATGACGGCTCGAACGGAAAAGCCCCTCACACACGCCGACAGGGTCGGCGGATTTATCACAGCACCAGCACCAACAACAATTACAACAACAACAGCAACAACAATGCAACAACAAACCGCACCGCGGTATTTCATGCCAGCCACGCACCCAGGGACAGTGAATGACCGTTCGGCTCCCTCGCTCCGATATTTATGCAGTGCTTCGTTCCTCTACCAGCGGCAATGCCATCGGCTATCCTGTTTTCTTCGCCTTCGTGCTCATCTACATGAGGGACCGGGACGGTCTTCAGGACGACGGATACGTGTCGGGCAGTTGGAAGGAGGTGTTCGTTTCGGCCGTCGCGGTTGCAGCTGCCATGTCTGTTGGCACGTGGATGGCTGGCATGGTCACAAGATCTCTTCACCTGAGATCGAGGAAGAAAACATGGCACGAGCAGAAATCTTCGACGAACCGCGCTCAGTTCCCGGATCGGCGGTGGGCCCACCTTGGCGGTGCCTCCGGCGCCGCGCGCCAGGGAGGTTGGTCCAGCACGGATCCGAGGAATCCGTGCGGAGTTCCAAAATTGTGCGTGTTCCGTTTTTTCGCCCTCGATGAGAAGGTCTTGGCAAGCCGTGGTGCTGGCACGGCGCATCCACCTGTCTGGGATATGCGTGGCGTTTTGGCTGGGCACGCTCTGCCTGCGGGTCCGTGGGATCGCCGACTGACCTGGCCTCTGGTGCCCCTTGCCTCCTGTTGCAGCCTACTTCTCTCGAGTGGATTATCCTCCTCCCCCTCCATCCCCCTCTTCATGTAGTCTTCGAAGCCTGCGGGCTGGAGCCACTTGTGCGATATCTAAAAATGGCACCATAATCGACACGGCCCCCTCCCTCCCGGCGGCGCCTTCTCTTCTGACCTCCTCCGCTTCCTCGTCCCTTCTCTTCATCCTCATTCCTCCTTCCTCCTCCTCTCCATCCATTCTCCGCCTCTTCCCGTTTGTGAATGCGTGTACTTGTGTGCACGTGTGTGTTTGTGAACAGTATAACAATTGAGCAACTTGACAACCACAACGGAGGGCCCTTGATGATCCATGCCAACCAGCATTTGTTTATACGTGGAGCTTGACAGACCAGGGATCCCACGAGCTTTGCTTGATTGCTTGGTCCTCCTCCACTTCCTCTGTCCTCGTCCTCCTCGTCGCAGAAGGCAGCTCTGCACCACCTCCGTTCCCCTGGCAAGGGCCGTCGTGATCCCCAGAGTGCTGTACACACCATCCTCGCCTCGGCCTGCTGGGCGCATACGTTGCGTCTCAAGTCTCATACGGCTCATTTCAGAGGGGCAAAGGGTTATGAGAATGACACGTTCCAGGATTTCAATGATTCCCACTATCCGTAAGGGTTTCGCTCCCTGCCGCTGGCCCACTCTCTCGGAGAATGGGGTATGCAAGAGCTATGCTGTGAGGCCTGGGCGCCGTCGTAAAGCAGCGTCGGCTCTTGGGGGACTCTTGGGAGCCTCTTGGGCCGTCTGTCGGCTCTTGGGACCATCTTGGGTGCCTTGGAGCACTCTTGGGCCGTCTCGGAGGCATCGTGTACCGTCTTGGGGGCCTTGAATGAAGGACACTGGTTTCGAAATCGCGAATGCTGTCTACTTTTCGAGGGTGCATGATTTCGGGGGCGCGAATAACGCGTAAATTACAAGAGATCTTGGCTCCGGGGACGCAAATATGGTTTAATTTACATGGGGATATTGCCTCGGAGACGCGCAACAAGTGCAATGTATATTGAATTATGGTTTCGGGAGTGCGAACACAATGTAATTTGCGCGGGTGTATTTCCTCGGGGGCGCGAACATTGGCTGATTCGCACGGGATTATGGCCTCGGGGGTGCGAACTTGGTGTTTTTTGCCAGGGATTATGGTTTCGGGGGCGCGAATCGTATGTATTTGTTTCGTGTCCCAGGACCTCCCCTGAGACCCCCCCTGGTGAAGGTAATCAATCAGTGCCCTTTTCGGCTCCCCCCCTCGCGCGGACTTCAACAATTCACAGTAGGAAGCAGAACACAGAGCTGTAACATCGGAAACTCAAGACTGGAACTGGAGCAGAGAGCCGCAAGCCTAAGCCGTGGAGCCCCCGCAAGGGGGCCAGCGAATTCCCTAATGTTCCGCGCCGGCTGCGACGTTAGATATTCTGGAAATTCTGGAACGCATCCTGAGCCAGTCTTCTCATGACACCACTCTCGCCCAAACGACGGCCCTGGCCTGGCACGGTGGTGGTCTGCAGCTGCCCTCTGCGTGCCCTCCTCCCCTGCCCCTCGCACCTGCGCGCGCCAGCAGCTCTTGGCCGCCGCCCTCCCTGCTTCCTCCGCCCTCCTCCCTCTTCCTCCTCCCTCCTCCCCCCTCCCTTTCTTTCTCCCCCGCCTTCTGCGCCTCGCCGTCCTTTCCTCCTCCCCCTCTCCACTGTCCTCGCTCTCGCCCTGTCGCTGGCCCGTGGGTGATCACAAAAGGTCATCTCCGATGGACCCCCCCAGGGAATTTGGACGAACCTCTCTCTCTTGCTCTCTTTCACTTTCCCTTCTCCTGGCGTGAAATCCACCTCGCCCTCCTCAATCCCCTCCCCCTCTCAGTTCCTCCTCCCATCTCGTCCTGCTCCCTCCTCCTTCTCCTCTCCCCTGCTCCCTCCTGCGCGTCTGTCCGCGGATGCCCCGCGCGGATGGCCTCGAGTTCAGACCGCGAGGGCGTGGATGTGGATATGTTCGCCGCTCATGGTCCCCACAGGCATACGCGGCCCCAGGGGTCCCGGTCCCTTGTCAGGTCTACAGTGGAAACCCATGCTAAGAAACGCACCGCTTGCCTCCAGGGTGCCCTGGGTATCTTGGGCTTCGATGGTTTTGCGATGGAAAGAGTGGGATTCCCACATCAAAACCACTGGACGTCCTGGGGTCTCAGGGTTGGGTTTCTTGTGGAAGGCCTCCCGGATCTATGTTTGATGGCTCGGAGCCAAGTCAAGCTCAGGAGAGAAACGTAGGCACAGACACACACACACACACATATATATATATATATATACACACACGTCGATTCCCAGGAGCATGCACGACAATCCCAAAATCTCCCCCGTGTACATATACATATACATAGACATATACATATAAGTATGGGGAATCCTGGGATTTGTACCTGTTTATTTGTGTGTGTGTGTGTGTGTCCCTGGGCCCTTGAACAAGAACGGCTCCTGGAGACCGACATCGAGACGAACTGCCAGGACTGAAACGGCCAGCTCCTCGGAGATCTGGGCCTCCGCTTCTCCCTGGGCGCCGTCCTGCATCGGCGGTTGCGATCGAAACCGATGGTAAGGACGGGTCACCTTCCCAGGGGCACCCACGGGCTTGGGGGCCTCCTCCGTTACGATGGCGATCAAAATGTCCAGATCTCCGAGGATGATCTGATTTTATCGATCCGAGCGTTTCGTGTCTTGAAATCGGCCTCCAGGGACCGTTGTCGGGCCCCAGGGCCGTCAACAGCTGATCCGGGGCGAAAAGCTAGGCCCGGGGGAGGGAGTCGGGACTTTGGGGCCGCGCATGGAATGAATCGTGTCGTCGGATGTCTGGGTGCACCGACGCCGATCTTGGCCAGAGGCCCATCGCAGGGCCCAGGAGATCGGTGCTCGGCTGGGGGCCAACTAACAAATGAAAATCAGGGTCCACCGCTACTGAGAGACCATCAGGGGTGGTGGCCGACCCCTCCCGATGTGTTCTCTCTCGGTGGCGGTGGTCCCTGTTTCCTCTCAGGAGTTCGCCGCGCGTGAAGAGCGAGCCAGTACAGTCGAAGCAAGAGCACCCTTGCATTCTTGCATTTTCGGTCCATCCTTGCGCCATTTCGACGGCCAGCCTCGCTCGAGGAGTCTCGACATGGGCGTCCAAGGTGCTTGCATCCTTACTGCGCATGCTTACTAACAGATTTGACTGTACACACGTGGCCACAAATCTGCCCAATCATGCGGAGTCCCGCTCAATCGTGCGCAATCCAGCTCAATCTGGCTAAGTCCTGGGCCTCCTCTGGCCTATTCCAGCTTGGTGGCCCTTTCCCTGAGATCCGACGTTGCGAACAGATTGAAGCATCACGAACACACACGACTGGAGCCCTGGACACCGTGATGGTCCCGGGATCCAACACCAGGCGACATCGCCAGGGGTGTAAACAAAGCAGCGCCCAGCTTTCGGGGTGCGAAGATCTCCCAGGAGTTGTTTTGGTCGTGCCGCCCTCCACTCCAGGCCCCTCAGATGGGATCCGAGTGGATGGGGTCGAATGATCGCGCCGCATCGCCGATGCATCGGCGATGCGGCTCGATGTGGAAGCCCGATCTTCTCAACGTCGACGTCGCCGATTTCTACGCCGACGACGATGCATCGCTGATGCATCGGCGATGCGGCGCCATCGTGCGACCCCGCATGCTCGGACCTCATTTGTTGGGAGCAGGAAGCGCACCACCATCTGCTGGAGGGATTCATGATGAGCTGGTGTGCGTGATGCGGGTGTGCACGATGCCGCGAGAGAGCGCCCGAAACGATACACACCACCACCACCCCTGACCACCCTCTGCCTCCATCCTCCAGGTGGTGGTGGCGTCTCCTTTGCCCTCCATTCCCAGTGGGCTGGGGGGGTGTCCGGGAACATTGAAACACCACATGTGGAACCCGTGCCCCACACCCCAGCCTGAAATTTGGGTTTCGGGTTGGGTTGGGGGGGTGATTTGGTAGGCAGTCAATTTGGGAGGCCTCTACGGTCGGACCGAGCTACAAGATCGAGGTCGGTTCGGGGAGGGTACTTTGATGTTCTTCGTGCATCCTGGGCGAGGGTACTCTCGAAGGCTCTTCAGTTTGGCCAGTGGAGGCTTACATGTTCTTGCAAGATGTCCTTCTGGCCTACTGTCAGCCCGCATAGTAACGATGGGCAACTGTCCAAGGTTACCCTTGCATCCTTGCCCCTTCGGCCCATCCCCTCGGACCGTCCCCGCTTGAAAAACGCCCACTCGGCTTTCCAAGGCCCGTGCATCCTGGCCGCGCAGCTTTGCTGCACGAGTTGACTGTAGGTTTGGCCCTATCCACGCCGCGCGCGCCGCGGCCCGCGCGGCGGCGGCCCCTCGCAGCGGCGGCCCCTCGCAGCGGCGGCCCCTCGCAGCGGCGGCCGGCGCGCCCCAGGAGGCCCTCGAGGGGGGGCGCACCGAGGTGCAGCGGGCGATGCAGGAGGCGCCGCGGCGTGGCGGCCTGCGTGCCGCCCCTGCAGCCTGCTTGCAGCGGGGGAGGGGCTCCTGATGGTTTGACCGTCGCTGGGGTCGTCGTTCAGCGGTCGGGGACGTGGTTCCTCGAGTAGGAGATCGACTGCAGAGCTATGCCCCAAGAGTGTTGTTTACGTTTCATCTGCGAACGAATGCGTATCATGCTCGTCGATGTACAAACGTTCTACGTTTTTCTTTGTCTATTGGGGGTGCAGCCAAGACTCATAATAAGGACGCATGGGTGTCCTTAGTGTCCCCTTGCGTCCTTGCATCTGCGGCCGTCCTTCGTGAGTTTCAATGGCGCGCCGCTCAGGGTATTGGCGGCCCGCCGCCCAAAAAGTGCCAACTTCGGCGTCCAAGGCCCTTGCGTCCTTACCGCCCATCCTTACTATATATTTCGACTGTAAGCGTTTTTCGCCTCCCTCCCTCCTTCCTCCCTCCTCCCTCCCTTCGTTCCCCCCACATACCTCCTCGCGGTCCTCCCCCCCCTCCTCACTCTTTGTTCCCTCCCTCCCTCCCTGCTCCCTGCTCCCTCCCTCCCTCCCCACGCTCGGCCGTGGGTTGGCCAGGCAACGATGCGATTGGCAGGCAGGTCCTGCCCTTCGCTGCTCTCTCTGAGGAGAAGCAAAGTCGTCGTCCCATCGCGCTGCCAGGTGGGTCGGGCCATTGCCGATGCGGGCCTTGGATGCGACTTACCCGACGGATCGGCGATGCGTCGCGAGTTATGTGGGGGCGACAGCTGTCGGCGCCTTATCTCAGCGAGGAGCGCGCGCCTCGCCCGAGAGCCTTGAGCGCCCCAGGATTCGGGCGCAGGGGCGTTTCTTTTTCCTCGGCACGTCCGCCCCCCCGTCCAGCGCGTGCTTGGAGCCACGGCTCGGGCGGCAGATGCGCTCTGGGCGCGTGTCAACTACGAGGACTGTTTTGGCGAACGGCTCATAGGGCATTGCACTCTTCCTAACCGCACCGTCGTTTAGACCATTGAAGGCACGTCGCGGCACTGGGTAGTCTCCGAGGTTCCTCGGGATCACGGGGGTAATCGGGGCTCTCTCTTGGGGGGGCCAATTGTTTCAGTCCAGCCCGGTCTAGCCCACCTGGCACCCGCCCCGCTGATGAGGCGGCATAAAGCGGGGGAGGATGCGGTGGCGGCCGACTGGGGGAGGGTATGAGTATGAGTGCGAGTATGACCATGTGACAAAGTCAACCGAGCCCACATGACGTGACGAATCACACATAAGGCGGACTATACACGACCACGGCATTGCTTCTCCTTTGCACTTAAAACTGTGGGCTACAGTCCACGCGAAATCCTGCCAAGGTATTCGGCCCGATGTGGTATGACACGCCTGGAACACTGCTTGCCAAGTCCACGCCAGACTGAAGAATCAAAGCATCCGCACACTTTACAATACCACAGCTGGCGGTGTGTATGAAATTGCATGACATGAGATTGTTCCACCCACCCACCCGCTATGCGCAGATGTGCCAGGGGGGATTTGTACAGGATGGTACCGTTATAGTTGACTGGCTGGAAACATTCGGATTGGCGCCACTTGGTAGCCGCGGCCCTGCTGGCCGAGCCTCCACGACAAGTGCACCTCCTCCCACTCTCATCGAGACGGTGGGCGGAAGAGAAGAGAGAGAGAGAGAGAGCAGCAGCAGAAGAAGGACGGGGGACGAGAGAAGACGACGTTGTTTCCCGCAAGTCAGGGTTGGCATCAGCCTCCATAGCGTCGAGCGTCGAATTCAGCAAGCGGAGACGGACCAGTCTCGCTCGCCGTTCATGCAACACAACTCGATGTCTCTCGCACTCTGGGAGACGGGCCGCACAGCACCCGCGACAACGTCAACAATTGCGTTGCCAGTGACGGCCCACCTCGGCGCGGCGCCTGACTGAATCTCAGCCGCGCCGAGGTGGGAGTGGATGAAAAGGACCGTGACACAGTCAGCACTCCGAGCCTGCAAGAGCTGCCCCAGCCTCGCCCAGAGGTCGGCGTCAGGGACGCTCGGAGACTCAAACCTGCGAGCAAACCATCCTTTGACGACGGGCTCGCAGTCCGTGACATATGTGATATATTTGCTCGAGGCCCAATCTGCAAGCAGAACACTTCTCAGCTCTCCTCGCGGGACGGCCTGGCGGTCGCCACTGGGTGGGCCTCGGGCTCCAGCGATTGAGAAAGAGCGACTGCACATCTCACTCGACTAAAGTTGGTGCTGGATGTGTCAGGGCCACCACTGGCGTCGCCAAAAAGGAGCAGGGGCGCCTGTGCTACCCCATGCCCTAGGCAGCCAGGCCCGAGCTGGAAAGGTACAGTCGCCGTCCAAGTGTCCTCGCAGGCAGGGGGCGGCACCGCCACCCACGAGGTCGGCAGAAAGCCCCTGAGCCAGAAGGCAGCGTCCGCCTCCGACTGGACCGTAGCCTGGTGCACCATATCTCAGTCTGCGTATCGGATTCCTTGTCAACGTGATGGCTGCAAGTCCACCCTCGATGTAGTTGTGTCTCGGGCGCGAGCTTACAGCGAGGGCAGAGGTCTGTGCCACCAAACCGTGAAATACCCGCCGTCTTGCGAGCACGAGGCCATGTACTACCAACCGCAACAGGCAATATAACGTCATTGAGCCTGTGGCCAACCAGTGGGACCTCTTACAATTGTCGAAGCAGCTCACGGTTAGAGTCATTATCCGAGCCGTCCATCAAATTTTCTCCACAGAAATGGTCACCTGCTTGCTTCTAATACCGACGTTGAAGGATATCCGAAAAGACTGTCAGAGAAAACCTGCATGACTATCGAAACCCCGCACTCCTGTGCACATGGCGGCGTCGAACCGCCACTCGTTGCCAGCAAACTCACGATGCTCTGGGATGCCCCAGCCCGTGGCTGAGGACACTGACCAAAATGCTACTATCAGATGTGGGATAACGGCTGAAACTGGGCCCCGCACATACTTGGAGCGGTACTGTACTGGAACTCCCTGAAGCTGCTCAACCACAAATCGCCAGACTCGTGATGCCCGCTCTGATACCAGGTTGGTTTCTCCGAGCAGCCAAGTACATGTCGAGAAACTCCGTGGGTAACTTGACGCCTGGGTCTTGCTGAGGAGCCCTCAGCGCGAGAAGGGTCGTCAAGCAACGATCATTCGTCCGCGCCGCACACGCCAGACCCAGCCTCCGACGCGCCTGGACAAGCCTCTGGCCGAAGGTACCGTGCACATGAAAGCCGTAGACGGCCGTGGCCTGCGCGCCCTGGAGCTCCAGGCGGCCGGTAACCTTGTACCACTTGGCCGCTTTGGCGAACGTGCCGATCTTGAGGCCCATGCCCTTGTGCTTGGCGCCCCGCCTAGCCCGCGTCGCACGGGCCAAACGCGCACCACAGCTGAAGTCCACCCCGGGGAAGCTCGCCTGCGACGGCGCGGTGATGTGGTACCCCGCAAGCCGCGCCGCACGCGCGACCCAGCCGGCGTCGCGAACATCCTTGCATATGACCACCGACTTTGGAGACACTCGAAGCATGCTTTCCTCCAAGGACCTGCACGTGTCCAGAATACAAGCTGTCAGACACCGACGAATGTGGGCACGAGAGCCTCTGACCTGCTGCGACAAATCGTCGACCCACACTCGACGACTCACCAACGGATGGCCTTCGACCACCCTCTTCAGCACAAAGTGTGTGATATTCCTGCCGAAACGCGTACCTGTTCGCAGCCCTTGGACGATGCTGCTAGTGGGCTGCAACGGGGCCGAGGTGGCCCCCAGCTGACTGCTAACCCTCGGCGAAACACATGAGAAAATCCATGTATAAGATAAGTGGGGGAAATGCATGTACAGCGCTGCTCCAACTAGATGCGGCCGCTCGATCGCGTCGTGGAAACTTTCAATATCGACGAGGCCGTGACCGACGCTCACATGGAGATGCATGCTCTTCCTGCGCAGTCCGGAGATACGCTTCGCGAGTACTAGAACTACCACATGCTGCTGCATCCTACCGCTCCTCGGTGCCCGCTGACCACTCTCTCACGAGTGGATCTCCTGATCGGTGACCATAGGCGACCGGGTAGCGGTACCAGACCGACGATCCGATCCCCGTGATTCTTTCTTGGGAAGCACCTTCCCCAACATGAACAATAACTGAGCTGGCCAACTCCGACACTCTTCACAAGCCGTGCAAACCAACGCCAGTTCGGCTAACCCGATATCTGGCGCTCCCGATCCACCTGGGGGCACCAAGTCGACCCCTGGACCTGTGGATGCCTTCATCTGCTCGAGAGCCCTTCGAACGTTGTGCACCGTGATGGGAGAAAGGGGGCCCCCCTCCACAGCGGCTTCCACCTTCCGAAAGACTCTCAGTACACGATCCTCACCCAACGGCTAAGGAGACCATTTCGTCGTGCCACTTGGCCGACTTAGCATCAGGTAGTGTCGCGAGGGTGACGCAATGCCTGGCTTTGGCACTCATGTCCCGTATCAACAAAGGGCGTAGGGCACACTGATTTGTGAATAATGCCCAGCGAAGCCTGGTCTGCCACGAAATCTTGAAACTCATTATGGGACTGTTGGACAGCACGACGTTGGGCCCGACTGCTGATCGGCGTCGAGCCTTGCACTAGATTTTCCAGCGTGTAAAATCGTACAGTCACCGATGTTGGTAAGACCATCCGTCCACTCATGCCATTCCCAATCTCTGCCTGGAAGTAGAACAGTGAGGGCTCGCTCGGGACAGGTGCCGGGGTGCCGCTTCACCGGCTCCACGCTGCGTGGCCGCTGAGCCGCCCCGTTGCCTTGGCGACGATGATGGGCCAGCGCGCGCAGTAGTGTGTGGAGCTGGGCCCCCGGCGGGCATCTTCAACTCCTGCGCGACGAAGTGCGCTCCAGCCGATCTCGAGGGCCCCGCTGGCAACGATGCATCATGATGACTGGTGATCGCGGGTCCAACAGCCGACGCCCAGCTGGCGTAGAGGCCGGGCGGCCACGGGGGAGCGCAGAGCAAGGCAAAGAGGGTCAAGGGCAAGAGATCCTGACATAAAGCCCACGTCTTCCCGTGCTTCCTTGCGTGCTGCTGACGGCGCTTCCCGAGTTGGCCCAGCTCTAGGTTGCCCCCCCGTCGCCTCGTCAGCCTCGGGCCGAATTGGATGCTGAGAGTCCAGGTCCTCATCGGTCGGCAGACGGCCAACCGATGGGGCGCCCCGGGAGACGGCCCCGCAGACGGCCCAGGAGGCGGCCCAGAGGAAGGCACACCCCTAGAAGCGGGCCCCTGGACCACATGGACACCAGGGCCCCCAGCATCAGAACGACCTTCATGAAGGGCCGCACTGAGGCCAGAATCGGGGCAGAAGTTGAGCTCCTGAACCCACGGGTCCTCCTCCTGCGGCCGCCCCGAAATTTCAAAACAAAAACGGCACCCATTAATATCTTCATTATATGCATGAACTACAGCACCTACAGCCTGGGGCGAGGGCTCGACCCCAGAGCCTTCCTCTCCTGCTGCTCCCTCGAGTATTTAACACAACCCCCAAACAAGGTGTGAAACTGTTCATACCTGGACCCTAACGCCACTTGCGGCTGCGCAATCCTACGAGCACGAGCGACGCTCGACTTAGAGCCTGGGGACGGGATGTGGGACGGGTGAGGGACCTGGGGAAGGCGGCCTGGTGCCTGCATGACCCCAGTCACCAGCTGCTGTCCCGCGTTGCGACAATGGACCTCTAACCCTATGCTGGGCCTCCAGGGGGCTGACTCGACTGGAAGCGCCCGACGGATGAAAGGCCCGGCAGCAACACCACACATGATGCAACCTATATGGGTCCCCGTGGGGGGCAAACTGGTGGCTTCAACGCCAGCCGTCACATGCACAGCGCCGATCTTCTTCAGGAGCCCCGTCTTGGGTCTTGGTCAACGCTGAGGGGCTCATCTTGAAGTCCCCTATGACAACCCATTGGAACTGCAAAGCATGATCGAGCGCTGCGAGCCTCTGGAATCTCCCGACGCTGGCCCCTGTGAGCGCTACGCTGTGGAACGCGTAGAAGGCGGTGAGGACCATCGAGATCCCTTGGAAGTGGATCGGCACGATAGAGAATCCGTCCAGCGCCGAGTGCGACGGCGCCCGCGGCCGCCCTCCAGCGGCACTAGCGGCAGGTAAACGATGAGCTCGAAAATGGTTCTTGGCCAGTAGCCACTCTCCACCCTCGCTGGCGCGCTCCTCCTGCGACAGCAGCACATGTCGTTCTCGAGGCCGAGTTGGATTGCAAACTGTTCGAAGGCCACGTCCCCTGGCCTTTCCTTCCCACCGGCGTAAAGCGGCCGGTTCATGCACATGCGTCTCCACTACCGCGTAGAAGTCGTAGTCAGAGCTGTCAATGCACGACCAGGATTTCTCCCCCATGCTGGGCGCGTCGACGTCGAACCGGCGCGAGATGCCATTCTTGCGCTCCTCATCCTCGGTCGCAGGCCCCCGTGCTGCCTGCGCCGACTCGGCGCCCGATGGCGCCCCATAGCCTAGTCGAGCGGCCGCCGCCTGACCAGAAGCAGCCGCGCCGCCTCCCGCCGTCGGGCCCTGGCCCTTGCCGCTGCTCTCCTGGCCCTTCGCGCCCTTGCCAGCGCGCGTCTCGGCCGCGAACTTGCCCGCTGACAGCCTCGGCGGCGAGCTCGGCGGCCTTGGCGGATTCCGCCCGCGGCGCGGCGGCCTCTGGGGCAGACTCGGCCGCGCCCGTGGCTCCAGCGCCGAGCGCTTCAGCCGCGCCAGCCGGGGGTCCGCCTGCGCCGGCGCCGTCGCCGCCGCCTGGAGCCGCGACCGTCTGGCCGTCGTCAGCGTTCACTCTCCTCTTCTTCGCCGTGCGATCGATGATCTCCGATACTTCTCCGCGCGGGTCAGCCAGTCGCGGACCTCTGCCTCAACGGCCGACATTTCGCGCTCCATGGCGAGCAAGCGCTCGTGGATCTCCATGGGGCCCGCCCGCTCTCCCCCCTCGAATTCGAGCTCGTCAATGTTGCTGGAAAAACTCTGCATCCCATGAAATGTGAAAAATGCGTTTGTCATTGTCGGCGCCCTCGGCCGTCGCTGCAACAGTTGCTTCAGCTCCACCCGCTCCTTCAGCGTGGGCCACCGCCGCCGCTGCCGCCTTCCTGGCCAGGGCTGCCTGCGCCAAATGCTCGGCCACGCCCGCCTCCTTGCACTCAGCCGCGGACGGCGACTGGCGGAGGCGCAGCGCGTTCGCGGCAGCATGTGAGTGTTTGTGATCGGCATCGCGATATACTCCATCAGCTTGACGGAGCAGCTCGACGGCCGAGGTCTCCTGCTGCTGGGATTCTTCGACCTTTTCTCCAGCTTGACGACCTGCTGCTGGAGGGTGGCCCTGAGACTGCTATCATCAGTGGCCGCCAGCGCGCGGGTCAACAACGAGACGGCATCCTCTGGTGTGCCACGACCTTTGCCGACCTCCTCGCGCCGCGGCGGCTTCTTGCCACTGCTGCGACTGCGGCCACCTCTGCCAGCCCCAGGGCCGCTGGCTGGCGAGGCACTCCGCGACTCGCGGAGGACCCCCCTCGGGTGCACGAGGGTGGCCCCCCCCTTCTCACTATCTGACATATCGAAATGTACCTTGGGGCCCTTGGACTTCGGTTTGAACAGCACAACTTCCTCTCCACAGGTGCCACAGACACGATGATTCCGAACCAAAACGCCATTGTATTCGCAAGTCTGGCATGATGGGCAGTGGGTCCAGGGGCGAGCGCCAAGCGCCGCGGCAGCAACTGACATATTCTCTCCTGCCCTAGTCGGTGCCGCGCAATTCCCCAGCGGGGCGCGCGGGCAAAGTCCCTCAAGCGCTTCGTGGAACCATAGGAGAATGAGCCCCGCCAGAATGGTTCGGGCCGAAGCGGCTTGAGTCAACTGGGGAGGGGGGGGGGGGGGGGGGGGGGGCGATGGGGGCGAGCTGAGTCGGAGGGGGGGACGGTTGCGCTCGATCGCGCCTCGGGGATGCCGACGGGCGGGGGGGGGGGGGGGCAGGAAGGTGGATGGGGTGGTTTCAGGGCAGTTTCGCACAGCGCCGAGGGTCTACCCAGCGCCCCGCGTGCGCGTGTTTCCGCTTGTCTGGGCGTGGACCATCGTGCCCGTCGGTTGCGTCTCCGCCTTGGGTGGCCCTGCGACGCCAGTCATAGCTCTTCGTTGTGCCGACCCCTTCGTTTCTTCGGGCCATCCCAGGAGGTGGGGGTCGTCAGAGGGGGTGCGCGGGGGTGGCGCGGAGGCCCCTGCCACCCTCGCGCCGCCCCCTCGTGTGAAACCTCGCCAGGTGAGCTCCCGGCGGAGAACCGCCTGCGCGCGCGACGCGCGGGCGTCATTCGCGGCCTTTCGCGGGCTGACAGCAGCTTGGCGGAGTTCGACGGCGGCGATGGTTGTTTGGGATGCGCCGCGCCCCCGTCGTAGGAGCAGATGAAGGAGTTGTTGAACTTCATGCGGCTCGGGGAGGGCGATGGTTCACGCTCGAAGTGCTCATTCACGGGGTGGCGCATGCGCAAGCACTGGGTCAATCGCAGCGCGTGCGCCGAGTTCCCGCCGGGCGGCGGCTCGCGCGTCTTCGTGGCTGGAGACCGCCGCCGCTTCCAGGTGCAGGTGGTCGATGGGTTGGCGTTGATGTCGGGCGCGGACCGCGCGCGCTCGCTGCACGACGCCTCGGTGAACGTGAAGGCCTTCATCGGCGAGTGGCCCCCGATGCGCATCGACCAGACCGGCCTCGCGGTCGACGGCGAAGCGGTGAAAGCCCTGCCAGCGGCCCCCATCCAGCGGGCCAAGGGCGGCATGCAGCGGGGCAGGAGGGCCCGCGCCGCGCTGCAGGACTAGGCCGAGGATGCGAAGAAGAGGCGCAGGCTCCAGGCGCAGACGAGCGCCCCGAAGGACAGCGGCGCGCGGGCGGCGGAGGTGGACGGGGGCGGCAGGGCGCGGCGGAGGTGTCCAGAGAGGTGGAGAAGGAGACGGAGATGGGGGAGATCGAAGGAAGAGCGCTCGGGGGAGACGCGGGGGAAGGGGCGGGCGGATGGCGGCGCCGGGGGGGGGCGGGAGGGCGAGGTAGGGGGAACGGGGGGGACGGGGCGGAGATGCGCGGGCCTCAAAGGTAGGGCGGAGGGTTTCGGTGGAGGAAGAGAGAGGAGATAACATCAATTTGCCTCCTACCTCCTGCCGTGCTCCCACCTCCCTCCGCCCCCATCATCTTATCCCTCTTCGTTTTTGGGATTCATGTCTTTGTCGCGCCTCCCGCGCCCTCGCGCGCCCCCTGCCATCGGCGCCCCTGCGCCCTGCGCGCCCCCCCCCCCCCCCCCGCGCCCCCGGCAGGGCGACGCGGCGGCGCAGCGGGCGGCCGCGCTGAGGCGCTGGCAGAGGCCGCCGTGCGATCGGCCTGATGGTGGGATAGGCGCTTGCCTTTCCCGCGCCCCCCCGCCCCTTCCTCGCCCCTCTCGCGCCCCCCCCTCCTCCCCCCCCCCCCCCGTCTTCATTTGTCCTCGCGCCGTTCCCTCCTCTCCCCCGCCCCCCCCCCCCCCCCCCCCCTTCTCTCCCCCGTTGCTCCGCCCCCCCGCTACCTCCCCCTTCGCCCTCCCCGCCCCCTTTCCCCCATTCATTTGCCCTCGCTTCGGCCCCCCCCCCGCCCCGCTTCGCGCCGCCCCCTCGCGGGGGCGGCGGGCGCTCGCCCCGCCGCGCGCCCCGCCGCCGCCGCCGCGGGCGAGAAGGGGCGCTGGCCTCGTCGGCGCGCGGCTGAGTGCCCCCCCCCCCCCCCCCTCCCCCTTCCCCCCCTCACCCCTGCCCCCGCCCACTGCCGTCTGCAGCGGCTGCAGCCGTCGCCATTGAAGCAATGTGGATGGGGGGGGGGGGGGGGGGGATGAGGAGGGGGCGGGCGGCGCGGGGCGGGGGGGCGGGGGAAGTTTGGGGCGGGGAAGGAGGCCGATTCGGAGGGGGCAGAGGCGGCAGATATAGAGGAGGAGGAAGGAAGAAGGGTTGGAAGCAAAATGCGGATGGGGGGGGGGGGGGGGGCGGCAGGGGTAGGGGGCGAGGTGGATTTCGGAGATTGCGTTCTCTCTCTCACCTGCGACCTCGCCCCCCCCCCCCCCGCCCCTCCCCCCCCCCCCCCCCGCCCTTCTCGCGACCTCGGGGGCCCGGTGTTATCCAGGTCTATTGTTTGGGCTGGGCGCGTTTGGCTCGAATGCGGGCGGGGCGAATGGGTCGGGGTCGGGCGCGTCTTTCTTTCCTATCACTAGAGAGGCGCGGGCCCTTGCCAATGGCGCGCTTTCGAGCGTTCCCTTTGCGAGGGAACGCGGAGCGTGGAGCGCGGCATCTGCGGGATTTTCGCGGCGCGCACGGGTCGCGGGCGGGGGCGGCGAGTGAGTGGCTGAGAGGGGCGCGCGCCGTGCGAGGAGACGAAAAGGCGCGCCCAGAACTGCGCGGTCTCGGTTGGCATGCGACCAGTCACTGAAGAAGACCTCGCGAAGCATCATGGCGAGCTTTGCAGCGACGGAATGTTGGGCCCGAGGGCCGTCGACGCGGCCGCCCGGCGGATGGCGCGCGGCCGGGGGCGCGCCCGCGGAGAGAGAGGGCGGGCGGGCGACCGCAATCGCGGCGGGAGAGAGAGGGAGACGCCGGGGGCCGACGGCAAGGGGCGACGCCGCGCGGGGCGAGGGCGCGAATGCGAAGAGCAAGGGGTACGAATACTTGACCCTGCGCGGGCGTGAGGACAAGTCCTTGTGCATCGCTGCGCGCGCAAACCTGTGCCACGGAATGTGGCTGCTCCACTGGGAAAGGAGCGTCGACGGCCACTACAAAACTGAAAAAGGGAACCAGAGGGAAGCGTTCTCGAGGATCATGGTGGTTGAGGTCTACTTCGATCAAACCTACGCCCACTTCGGCTCGGAAGCGCGGGTGTGCGCGGTGCACCTCCGCCGCGACACGGCGAAAGCTTCCAAGGCTTTAAGGAGGCTCACAAGACGTGGTGGCCGAGGCTGGCGGCCATCTTGCAGGAGAACAAGGTTGACATCCTTTGTGGGGATTTCAACATGGCGCTCACACAGACGCTTCCGAGTCTTCGGGGTCTCGGCTTGCGTTTGGAGACGGCAGCAGCGTACTTCTGGCGCGGATTGGACGGCACCCCGTGCTTGGACAGCTGCGGCATCTTCGTTCTCAACAGGCCTGGCGAGTACACCCTGTGCTGGCCGCTGAGCGCCGTGCACGACAGAGACGAGACGGGGTTGCTCTTCGCACGCAAGTCGGTGATGGGTGAGATCGGGTACCGTAACAGAAGCAAGGCAGAGGCCCCCGCAGCAGCGGGGGCCTCCACCAGCCCATCATCGGAGCCGACGTACTGGCACCACTGCCAGGAAGGAGGCCCTGGGATGCCTTACGATCGCTACTACCCGAAAAAAGACGCCCGCGAGCACCTCCAGGATTTACTGACTCAGTCAGAGGAATGCCAACGCAAGATCCAAGAGATGGAGCGTGAGAAACAGAGGCGCGCCGAGGCTGAGGCTAGAGGGGACCACCGCTTCTCTAGTGTTCGCGAGGTGACCCTCTTCCGCGCGTTGCAGAAGACGCTCCCGCCCGAGACCGTGGAGGTGGAGGGGCGCTGGCACGGCGGCGCCCACTACCCTCTCCTGTTCCAAATGCGCACGGCCAGCTCGCGTGCGAAGGGAAGGAAGCACGAGAGGCACAAAGAGAAGAAGGACAGGCGCGCCCAGAAACAGCAAGCAGCTGCGCTCCAGGGCGCCGCAGCAGCGGCGCCCGGCTCCGCAGCAGCGGCGCCCGAGCAGCACGGGCCTGAGCGCCAGGCACCAGAGCAGCACCGCGAGAGGGACGAGCAAGACGAGCGCGCCCAACAGGCGTGGCGCCCACCAAGATGGGCAGACGAAAACGCGGACGGCGACCGCGACTGGCCCGCGGCTGGCGATGGAAGGTCGCGGCGGGGGGTTGAAAGGGGGAGGGAGGGAGAGGGGGGGTGGAGCACGGGGAGGGCAGGAGGGAGGAGAGGGAATGAGGAATAGGCTGAGCAGGACGAGGGATGACATAAGGAAATGGGTGTCGGGAAGGGGCGGGAGTTGACAGGAAGGGGATAATTATAGAAGTAGTTACTTATCACCCCCAAGGTGGCGGCCGACCCCGCAGTGGCCATCTCCAGGGCCTGTGCCGCTGGGGCAGCGAGGGCAAGGGTTGCAAGAGCAGCAGCCGCGGGAGGCGCCGCGGCATCAGCCGCCAGAGCCCCCGCAGCAGCGGGGGCCACAGACGCCATGGCAGCGCCCAACAGACGGGGAGTGGCGCAGGGATGAGTGGCGCGGCAAATCGTGGGACTGGTGGCGCACCAGGGAGGGCGAGGAGCGCGAGTGGCAACAGCCGAGCGGCGAGGCTTCCTCGGTGCAGGACCGCAGGGTCGACTCCGCCTGGCGCGACATGCAAGTTGCATTCGGCAGCGATCCGCGCCCCAGTGACTGGTGGAGCAGCCACAGTGGGTGGAGTGGCGGCCAGGGGCACTGGGAGGCCACGACCACGACGCCCTGGAGGTGGGTCGAACACCCCCCCGAGACCAATCCCTGGGAAGAACTTAGCTGAACCATCGCACAGGGGCCGCTCCTCCGCAGCAGCGGAGGGAGGCCTCATCGGCCGAACGTCGACCCTCCGCAGCAGCGGAGGCCTTGCCCGTGCATCGTGGGCGGCGGCGAGTCGCGCGCGCCGTCGTGCTCGGCGACCGCTGCCCGAGCGGAGAAGGAAAAAGAAACGGTGCTTTCATCGGTGCTGTCGTTGCCTCCTCTCATTCATCGTTTTCTTCTCCCTCCCCCTCCAATCCCCCATCCCGCCATCGCATTTTATCGTCTCGAATCGTATCGGGAGCTCCCGCGGCAGAAGAGCACCCAGAACGAGGTCCTCCGTGACAGAGGGGGGGCATCTTAGGGCCCCTCTGTGACAGAGGGGGGGCCAAAAAACAAATGATCACTTTAATGCGGCTTCTGGATTGCTCTCCTCGCTGCAGCGGCGAGATCCGAATCCAGCACGCGCCCTGTGGGGGTACTTGCGGCCTGGCTAGCCGAGTGCGATTGGGGCGGCAACGACCTGACCCCCCAACAGGCCGCCACCTGGTTGAGAAAGTGGGACAATGACACCGCTCAGAGGCGGGCGGCCCGGCTCACCCCCGCACAGAGGGGCCCCGGCGTCGAGCGCCCCGCCCTCGCCTCGCACTACCGCACGGGCCGAGAGATCTTCGTCAAAACGCACGCCATTCTTGGCGTGCGTGACACTAATGGAAAATAAAATGAGCGCACGAAGGAAGTCGACGACGTCCTCTGGCGGAGCCGTAGCCACATTTGGCAAACTGCCCCCCCCCCCTTCCCCCAGCCGCGGACCGGATCCTCGACGAATATTTCCGGCACAAAGAACTCGGGCAGTTCCCGGACTCCCCCAATCCGCAGTGGGGCAGGATTGCCTCTCTCGTCCTGGGCCCAAGTGGTAGTGCTCCTGGGGTGGATGGGGAACCGTATGAACTGTACCACCCTGGTGCCCGCTTCGTCGCCTACCTGCTCGCGCAGGCTTGGTATGCTGCTGACCTGAACCCGGATCTTATCGACCTGGTCCTAGTCCCTTCCATCGATTTGCTTGTCTGGATTGGCAAAAAGGCCGCTGCCGAAATGCCAAACGACATGCGACCCTTGCAGCTCCCCGCCTGCCTACGGAGACTGCACGGCGCGACCGTTGCTGACCAGCTAGGTCCGGTGATCGAGCCCAGACTCAGCCCTAATCAAGCGGCCAAGCGAGGGGGACAGTGCGGTCCCAACATCACAGCTGCCACTAACCACCTTGCCCTGGACCCGGCGCCC